GGCATCTTAATAAACTAGTCTTTTAGGATTTTATAAGTAAGTAGCTAGTTAAGCTAGAATCTGATTGGTCATGAGATTGCGTTTTTACAATTCGATTAGAAATCGCTTGAGTTGGGCTATACTACATGCAACAACATCGCACAACGCCGCGTTGACGGAAGCATTTGTCAAACAATTTGATATAAATAAGTCGTGCAAATAAGGTCGAAATTTGTATTGTCCCAACGCATATTATGAATTACGCTTGTCGTGTGATGCCGGCTTAGAATGTCACCACTTACTTATTCATCTCAAATTTACGATGTCTTCTACTTTCTAGAAAACTGTTCAACTTGCTATAATAAAATTTCACAGTCTACTGAGAAAACTTCAAGACGTGAAGATATATTCTAGAAATTCCCTTACACCTACACTGGATCGCTTCATTTGCCGCCATTGAGGGAAGCTGTTGAAATGAAGACGAAGACTGGATACCTTCTTTGATAAATTCACCATTCAGGCTTCATACAATTTGATCTTTAATTTCTTGGAAGGTATCTTAATAAACCTGGTTCTTTAAGACTTTATAAGAAGCTAGTTAGGCTATATCTGTTAAATTGATCACAAGATTGCACTTGTAATTCAAAGATGACTCTATAATTTTGAAATCTCGTGACACGAAGCGTCGTTTGCATGAATAATACAGTAAAATAGACAAGAAGATCAGACTACCCACTTAATAATTATAAATCGCTCTTTGGACACAAAATGCGTTCATGGCAACTTTCGTAAAATATTCATTACAACTATGTATGTCTTTCGTTCTTCTATAATAAAATTAAAGACTGTTCGACTTGCTATACCTAATAAAATTTTACAGTCCTTTGACAAAACGATTCCCTTACACCTACACTGGATCGCCTCATTTGCCGCCATTGAGGGATCTGAACCTGTTGAAATGAAGACGAAGACTGGATACCTTCTTTGATAAATTCGCCATTTAGGCTTCATACAATTTGATCTTTAATTTCTTGGAAGGTATCTTATTAAACTTGGTTCTTTAAAACTTTGTGAGTAGCTAGATAAGCTAGTAGGTAGGATAGATAAGTAACTGCTTGATCGCAAGATTGCATTTATAGAATTCTAAGATAATCTTTAAAACTAAGACACGAAGCATGCAAATAGGTATGCATGCATATAGGGTGTATTTTTATTAGTGGCGGATCCGTTAAGGGTGTGTTCTCTCAATGAAACTGAACAACTTTCCCCAAGGAACATAGGTCCAAATACGAGAAAAAATTTTGGTCTTCCCATACTAAGTGTGTTGGCCGACCGGGTCAATTTGTATGGGAAGACCAAAATTTTTCACACTAAAAAAGAAGCTTCAGCTGAGCCTTGAACGCTGTAACAGGTGGCACATACCTATAAGGTCCTATTAAATTCACTGCAAATATTTTAAGGGCATGCGTAAATATGTATAAGAAAAAATTCTAAGGCATTTAAAAAAAAATCTACACGCTAGATTTTTTTTTTTCATTTTCAAACAAACTTTTTAATTAATTACGTGAACATCCTTTGACTGACCCGACACGTTCCGCCGCGTAGACAGGATTCACTTACAAGGCACGCACACTAACAACCAACCAATACCTTTTTTTGGCATGTAAATTAAATTAATCGTACTTCTAGTTTTGTGTTTCTAAGACAAACAGGGTGCACTTTTTTCGCTTTGTGTTTTTTTAGTTAAATGCAATTTTCTTGAAAACTAGCATTTATTTTTTTTTCAATTTGCCTAGTACATGCTTATAATAGAAACAGAAATTCCGAAAACGTAAAGCAATGGCGTAGCAAAATGCTACGTCGTCATATCTTCGTAGCGTTGACTAAAATATAATCGGGGTGGGGTCGCTTTACGTATGAAGTGTTTAGATACAAACATTTCATTAAGGTTCCTATAAATTTCAGGCACCTAATTCAATAGTAATAAACCCCCTTCCAACTGTTTTATCAGAACAACCGAAACTGCGGTGTAGACTGCTTCAATAGTTACGTCTCGTGCAATTCAGAGCGAGAGGGGGCGACTGTTTATTTAATAACGTTGCTCTGCGCCGATAAGACCCGCTATTGTACGAACTGCGGTCTAAGTAGAAGACTGTACAATACCGTCTAGAAATGAAGATGGTATTAGTATTTAAACGTCTTGAGACTTAAAAAAAGATCATTCAATATTTTAATCCAGTCCTATTTACCTAATTTGTGTACCTAACACGGAAAATGTTTTAAAAATTTGGTATTTAATTTATCACGGGTTTTCATCGCTTTGGCTACATCCAATCTGTAGTCGCTGGAAATTATAGTTGTAAAAAACTATCTTGGTAGTTGTAGCCCTACCCCGCGTTAGTAGTCAAGATAGGAGTGAGTCGCTGTAGCCCAGTGGGTGGAGACGTCGCCAGCACAGATGGCGAAGGTCGCTGCTGCCGCTGCTGGTTCAAATCCAGCCGCGGTGAAAATTTTGCAAGTTTTCCTTAATTGTATACCTATGATGATGATACCTATTATTGCAGGAAAGTGTTTTAAAAATTTGGTAGTCAATCACTTGATTAATGGACTGAACCCAGAATATGAAATTCCATCAAGAAATTACAATACAACACAATACAAAGTATAACATTCTATGCTAATAATACCTTCCATGAGTTGAAAATTGTCAACGGCTATAGTCGAGAAAACTACTTGCAGCATTCGCGGCTGTATCCATGGCACTACCTTTCCCATTTGGTGGTGAACTCAAGGGAAAAAGAGATCGCCATACGAACTCCATACGGCCCCAAATGCAGCGAATGTTCTTTTTGACATAACAACAGTTTCCAATGGTAACTAACTCTGCATTAGAAATTATTACGAAAACGTATAAAATTATTATCTATTTTCTACGTAGATAACTCTGTAAAACAAAATAAAAGATAGAAATGCGAGTCGTTATACCTTGTTGAGGAGTTGTTATTTCCATGAACAAGTCCGCTTATTTATTCCCGTGTACAGTGCAATAGTGTTGTCAAATTATCGATAGTTGGAAGACAATAAATGTTCACAATAATTATGATTCCATTATGTAAGTAAAACTTATTTTTTAAGTTTGTTAAACTCATTCATGTTATTTAAACTGGCTTTTGTTATAGTTATTTTGAAATACCATATCTACATCTATCCTATCCATGTTATGAAAATTAAAAATTAACAATGGTAATGCCTACCCCAAAGGAATATAAACGTGGTATCTATTTGTATGTAATGCAAAAAAAAACATTTTTTCCTTTGACAAGTTTAGGTTTTCTCAGAGCTTCATGTTTATTACAGCAGTGGCCCGAGGGCTTAGGGTGTCGCACCGTACTAATAACAAAAGTCAAGTCTTGTCTGTGGCATAAATGTATTATAATAGTTTGTCAATCGATATCAATAAAGTATTATCTGCATCTTTATTATATTGTATCAGGAATGACAAGGAAAGTAGGTCGTTTATTGCACTCTACTTATTTAATGATCAGTTTCTTGTTATTCACCTAACATATGAGTCTTAATCTATCGATATCGATAAAAAAGTTTTTGCATCCCTATCGCCCAGTATCGGGAATGACAAGAAAAGTAGGTCGTTTATTGCACTCTACTTGTTTAATTAATGATCAGTTTATGCCATTCATCTTACACATCAATTTCAATCTATCGATATCTATTAAAGAGATGTTGCATCCCTATCGCCCTGTATCGGGAATGACAAGAAAAGTAGGTTTACTGCAGACTGCAGTCTACTTGCTTAATGATCAGTTTTTGTTATTCATTTAAAATTATGAGTCCCAAATCCCAATCTATCGATATCGATAAAAGATTCTTTGCGTCCCTATCGCCCTGTATCGGGAATGACATGAAAGTAGGTCGTTTATTGCACTCTACTTGTTTAATGATCAGTTTCTTGTCGCTCTGCATAATATTTACTCACTCCTCGGGGTAAATATTATATCCTCGTATTTCATAGTCTGTTTTCTTGAGAATACGACCTTATTTATGAAGAGTAGGTACCTACTTGACGATGAAGTATTCTTAGGGTCCCTTGAAAATGGATTTAAGTACCTACTCTAGTAATTTAGTTTTCTTTTCATATTTTGATTTAACCTGTTTATGGTTAACAATACACGAGCTTCTTAATAAAAGCTATTCCAGAAAATTGATTAAAGAAAGCCAGGATGTAACTGTTTTTGTTTTCCAATGTGATACTTCTGTTACAAATGATACAAACTGTGGTTTATCACGGATATTGTTCCTAAAATTTAAGACAGTGATCTGATATTGTAGTTATGTTTAAGAGCAAGCAAGCAAAGAGGTGCCCTTTAGATATGTAATACCTAGGTACTTACCAAATATATCAATCCCAAAATTAAGATATCTTTGTATGCGAGGTTCAAATTATTTGTTCGTATTTTCTCGGGGAAAGGTGTTCCTTATCACGAGCCCTTTATTTTCACTAGTCACTAGCAAAATTTTACCTAATATATCTAGTAGCAATGTAAAGGCCACAACCAATATCATAGAATAAAAATATTGTTATTTTAAGTACAAGGATAACGATTTCCGAGAAAATAGCTTTCGTAGCATTAAACGGTAACCCTTTCAATTGAACATTGAAAAGCTTATAATAAGAAACCAATATCCTTTATAACCGGTTTCAGAGAGTAACCGATCGACCTCATACAATCGTTTTCCAATGGGATCGGGGACAGGAACCCTAAGCCACAGTAAATTAAGACAGTAGGTCAAGTCTTCTTATTTGCTGATTGGTGAATAAACTTCTCATTACATTTTGTTACATACAATTTTTTTAAACACTTTCCGTTTTTGGGTAAGTTGACTACTAAAGAATGGATTAGTCGCTGGAAATTAGTTGCAAAACTATCCCGGCAGATATGGAGCCCTGTCACGCGTTAGTGGCCAAGTTATAATTACTTGCTTAATTCGAAAGCTAGGATAGGCCCGCTGTAGCCCAGTTGATAGTGGCGTCGGCAGTGCAGATGCAAAATGTCGCAGGTACGAATCCTGCCAGCGGTGGAATACTTTTCGTGACTTTTCTACGCTGATATCACGCATTTGTACTTGACACAACAATTTCCAACACCGTGCGATTGCGATTGGGACGAATTGTGAGAAATACCTTCATGACAGTTATTGTTTGGTGACATCATGTCATTTCCCTTTTCTTTTCGCCAGATTTTAAACAGAAAGTTGTATTATTGATTTGGTTATAGATCGAGCACGTATTCGTACGTAGTAACCGCAATAGAGTATTATTGGTCTATGGAAATAGCTTCTTCCCAAGGTAAAGAAGTTATACTGGACCTTCCGTCCACTATGGCAACTTTGTGAGGTTAAGAAAAATAATTGGATAGAATTGCTACTCTCAACGAAAGCAATTACATCTCTCCAAACCAATTTCAGTGTACTCAACGATTCCGTTTTGGGTAAAGCTTCTGTCACGTGGAGTTGTATTTTTGAGACATTTTGCTGATGTGACTTTTATTGATAAAATGTTTGTAGAGATGTGATGCCAAAAAAAAAAGGTAGTCTAACCTTCTTACTAAAAAAATGACTGCCTGCAACGCAGAAGTTTCCAGGTTCAAATCTCGTTGGGGTCACTCAGAAACTCTGACACAAGGGTTCATCGGGTCGTTGGACCACTTGGTGTTCCAATCGAGGAAGAAGAAGTACTAAAAAATCTTCAATGCACTACCATACCGTGTAGATATTTACATATCGATCCCGTAATTCAGTTAATTGCTAATTACGATATTATTAACGTGAACTATTAATTTATTACCCAGACAGGTACCAATTTAGGATATCTAAGAAGTATTAAAATAAATAAGGCTCAAGCACGATGAACTCCGACCCTAAACCGTCCAAAAGCTTTCTTTAATTTTCATCATAAATCGTACGTGAGTTACCTGCTTCCCTAATTCTATTACGCCTTTCCTTGCCGTTATTTAAATGTAATGCGCCATCTTAACTAGAATTTACGGAGTAATTGAATCGGCCGTAGCTAAGATTGGTTTTATTTGAACTATTTATATTGGTACCCTTTGGTACCAATCGGGTATTGGAATAAAATTGGTTAAATGTGAAATGCTTTTACTTTTAGTCAGCATCAGCAGTATACAATCTTTTCAGCCAGGGATAATTTTGTCGTTCAAGGACATTATCATTAAATTAGGGAGAAAAGAATGTGGTAAAAAAACATTCAATAAAAAGTTATCAGTGCAACGGTCTGTCAAACTATTAAGTATTAAGCACAAATTTAATTATTATAAATGTAATTGTATTGACTCCATCCAAAATATTGAAATATGACGTCATTATTTTAATAATCACAAAATATGGTCATCTAACCAAGGTTACTGAGAGATAAAATTATTTCCTCTAATATTTTCTATATTTTAAGCTGTACAAGCAAATGCTCTCTAAATCATACGAGTAAGTAGTTCCTAAAGAATTTCCAACAAGTAAATATTCTATGAAAAGAAAACTAACAAACTGGGAAAAAATATTTACTGGGGGGATCCTCACCGAGCATTGGGAAGTAAGAGAACCCAAGAAATTGTATTTGAAGCTTTTCAGAAACTTAGGCATTAGCCGGCCAACTTTTTCCCCGAACTAGTATTGCCAGCTTGCAAATAATGTATTTACTTGTTTTTAGCTAATATATTACAATACTGTAGGGTTATACAGATCAACAATATGTATGATGATGATGACTGATTACTTTGAAACCGATATTAGGTTTCGGTACATACTTAATATTTATTAAATATTCTCATTTAAATGCGGAAAAAGCACTAAAATATACAGGTAATAATACACTTTAACAAAAATCTTTAATTTTACCTTATGTAAAGCTTCAGGAACCACTCCACTAAACCTTCATACTACTTGGTCCCCGCGAAAAGGCTCACCAGAGGTTGATATTTTTCTAGCAATAAAACCAACCAGCCAAATCACCTAAAAGAACAGATAAAAATAAGTAAGTATTGCTGGTATATTCCGGTATCATGCATGGGGCACAAATACTTAGTCAGGGACCTTCGCACCACCGCGGAGGAGGATACGATAATAACTAAACATAAATGTGTAATCTGGCAACACTGCTAGTAACGCACATGGTTGGGTTGCCACTAATGGGGAACCCGACGAACTTTTACCAAGAAACACGGACTTGTGTATTTTTTTTACGTCTGGAATTCTCTAAAGACCTCGCTCATTTGGTGTTGTGAAAGTATGTGCTTTTCCTGCGAAATAATGCTGGAAGTTTACGACTACGTGTGTGACTCCTAAAGTTAAAACAAGGAGTTTATTTATACCTACCTATGTGTAGAGAGTAAGAAGTTTCAACACAATATGATCTTGAGTTTGTGTTGTGTTTGCGAAGTAAAATATTTCGTATATTTTTGGGTACCACTATTTTAGCACCGACCGCAACATATTTGGGATAAGCGCGGACAGATGATGATGATTTAAGCGCCAGCTACTAAAAGCAGTTACGTAATACTTTCTTTGTGATATATTTTCTTAGAGTTATATTTTTTTCTCTTAGATGACAGTTAAATAATGTAACGTAAATATTCTCATTTATCATTGTTTCAAATGCAAATAGAAAATACTGGAACCGAACTAGTTAATATGTGGCAATAAGGAGATAGCCATCATTGATCTAAAAAGAAGATAAAGCCTCTAACGAAAAAAGGAACCAAGTTCACAATTTTCATAGTATAGATAAATACAGATAGATCTGAAATTTAGGGTACCCACAAATTCAAATTAGCAAACCAAACTTCAGCGGTCGCAAACCGTGGTTCCAATAATTAACCATAACTCGAAGGCCCAATCAAACTTGCTTTCCCGTACTTCTAACTAGTTTGGCTTTATACAAACATCTCTGTGACGTACTTGTAGGCACAGTTTTGTTGATTGAATATCTCTTGTGTAATTTTAGAGGGCTTATGTTTTGCTAGATACTAAAATAACATTGATTTTTAATCAGATTTTTTATTTATTTAATTTAATGCAAAATTTTAAATGGGCGGACTTAATGTCAAGGCATTATCTACCAGTCTTCCTTAGGGCAGGTGGAAATGGGCGAGGCAGGTGCAAAAATAATCTTCTTCTTCTTCTTTTCGAGTAGTTTTTATTGTGATAATGATGAAGAAAGCAATTTGATCAATAAGTACAAGACAGTTTCTTTTTATTTTCATAAGCGTCGTAGCGTAGCATTCATCTAGGATGATGCGGCATAGTCAAGGGCATGTAATGGTTCAGCCAATCAAGCACAAATATAATTCCTCAATATTAATATTTTTACTAACAATATGCTTTGTTTATGAGCACATTTGGGATGAAAGTCATCTTTCAACAATGCATAATTCTTTCATACCATAAATTGCGCTCAGTTTAAACACAAATATCAGAATAGATGCATTTTGTTTGTGGCAACAGAAATTTCAAAGATAGTTGAACGATTTATGTTTCATAATAGACCAGAAATAATATTTTTATATTCCCAAATCAATGTTGATTCTAGCCAATTCGTGCATAGTAGCACCATCTATTGATATTGCACAGAACTAGCTGAATGACACGTGGCGTGCGGCAGTGCACTGTTTTACGAGTAATATCTGAGCAACGAGATGGGAGTCTTGGTGTCACTTCACGAACGTGGAAAAGGTGTGATTGGTTGTATCACGGTGTAAAGAATATTCCTATTGGTTGATACGCTTGTTCCTACCATACCAACCGTTCTCCGACTGCCCGGCGCGGTCGAGCGCCCGCCACCCGCCACCCATGCGCCAGCGGCGCGGCGTGACGTCAGCGGCCGCCGGGGGGACTGCCGCCGGTTCGAGACGCGCCGACGCGCCACTTTGCGGCGGGACAGCGGACGCAGCGGCCGGGAGCGACTGCCGCCTGCCCGGACACGACGCTCGACACACTTTGCCGCATCTTATTGCGGATTATTGGACAGGCAGGGAAGTAGTAGTTTTCTTTATGGGAGGGCTTTGTTTAACTTTGAAGAAACCCTGGTAAGGCCTTTTATTTTCTCTGATTTTACAATTTTTATTCCATTCTATTTAAAAGTGGTTTTGATTTTTCTGTGTTATTTTGTGCCTAGGATGTACGTTGCTGGCAGTTCGCGTGTGTTCTATTTTGCGGTTTCTAGATTAATTTTCATTGTGTTGCTACCTCGTGTTTATTCTACCTGTTTCCCATTTGTCTTTTACGTATGTGATAAACGTAATCATGCCATTGATAAATTCTTACTGTTTTGCAAGTATGTATAGTGCGTGAGTAATAGCGGCTAGCGGGAAGACGGAGAATCGCCGCGAACAGTTTTGTTTCTACCCTCTTATTCTTGCTTCGCGGTGGCGTCATCATTCCTATGGCGGGTCTCACACCTGACATTCGTCGCTGCGCATTTTTCGCTCACACAATTTGTATGAGAAGATGGCATATTGCAGGTAAATGGGAGAAGTAGGTAGATAAAAACAGGATAACCGAGTGAGTAAGACATTATTGACAGTGGGTTCGATAGGCAAAGTTGTGGATGAAAAAAAAAAATCGTAACCTTTTTAACCGACTGTTGAAAACAGGGGTGTCACATCGATATGTGTGTATAAGGAAATTTATAAATCCTATATTGTTTTGATTTGTTGAAAAATGAAAAGGTAACCGACTATGAAAATTGTTGTGAGTAGGTGTGTAAAGTTGTAAATACATCAGGGTGTTAGTACGGTGTATTTCTTGTTGTGAACAATGGTGAGCTGTCCAGCAGTGGAATCGCAATTCGGTTTCTATGGACATAAGATTTATACATACTATAATAGGTTAGCGTTACAAGTAAAGTAGATGATTGGTGAGACAATACCGCCAATCTTCGTAATAGGTAGGTAGATTATTTACTGAAGCTCATGTCTAGCAGTGGAGTGTGGTGTTTAAAGGTGTGTAAAACCGATTAATTATGTAGTGATGCCCATATTAGGTAAAGGATAGTGATGAAATAGCATAAT